GGGGTCCTGACCCAGGAGGAGGGTGGGGCCCACAAGGAGTGTGGGGTCTATGAAGTGGACAGGGCCTAAGAGGAAGGAAGGATCTGGGCCCAGGAGGAGGGTGGGGCCCAGCAGGGACCAAGGTCTAGGAAGAAAGTAGGGTGTGTTCCTGGAATGGAAACTGACTGGAAAAGGTGGATAAGTCACTTTCTGGGTCAGAGAGCTGGGCTCAGGACTGAAGGCGAGGAGGCAGGGGTCTCGGCCTGTCCCAGCACCAAGCCACCAGGAGGAACACTGCTCTGGAGACCAGAGACCTTCAGGATGGAAAGGAGGGGAGCACAAGTCGAAGTGTCTACTCACCATCCACTGTGGTGGCTTTGGCAGGCTCTATCCGGGACACGATCTCAGCAAGGTCCGTGAAGAAGGCGTTGGGGCAAGTGAGGACCTGAAGGGCAGAGAAGGGTGGTCCTGGCAGGCCAAGGGAGCCAAAGCCCTGACCAGCCTGCTCCCATGACCTCAGAGTGTTCTCACCTCAGGTAGGACAGCGGACGACTGCTTCTGCCCCACTCCTGCCCCCACTGATCCCTCACCCAGGACAGCTGTGGGGGCCAGTGTAGCCCCCAAAGATTTCCTTCCATGGCCCCCAGTTCAGAGAATAGCACAGGGGCTCTGTGAGGGCCAGTGTGGAGAGGGGCAAAGGTGTGGGATGGGGGTGAGTTGGGAAGGGCGTGGGGTGCAGTAAGGGGTGAGCAGAGAACCACAACGCTAGGGACACCAGAGCCACTCACGTCGCAGGCCTTCGTCTTTGTCTCCTGACGGTCCTTCAGCATCTTGTCCAACACACCACTTCGAACCCAGATGTCAAACACTGTCCGTCCATACTGGTAGCCCACTTCCTGTGCACACCAGGGTCCTGTCACAGGGACTGGGGGCTGCTGACCTCCACTTCCAGTCCACCCAGGGCCCTAGTCTGGGCTGGCTTCACCCCTGCAACAGTGGTTGGCACTCACGCAGATCTCATCGAACTTGGTGAAGTCCAGCGTTCCGTAGCTGTCGATGGGGGGACGTAGGTACTCGCAATAGTCACTGTTCTTCACCATCTCCAGCTGCCGGACGCAGCACACATAGGCTAGGCGGGTCTGGATCTCTGCCATGTTCAGTACCTGCAGGGCACATCGCCTGGGCAGAGGCCATCCCAAGACCCTAATCCTCCCAACCCTCTTCTCCCAGACTGCCTCCCCTCCAACCAGGACCTAAGGGGAAGCCAATTTCTCTGCTAGGAAGGCAGGACACTGTCTTGGCCATGAGAAGTGAAGGATGTGTATTCGGGTATGTGCAATACTGGGTGGGCATGTGTATTAAGGGTGTGGTGGGTACATGTACTGGGTGGGCATGTGTGTGGAGTGGTGGGGACCCCTGTGAGGCATGCATGTGTGGAGGGCACATGCACAGGTGGGAGGTGTGTGGGAGGTGTGCGTGTGTGCACAGGTGGGAGGTTTGTGGAAGGTGTGAAGTGCCCACGTGGGGCATGTGTTCCTGTACAGCAGTGAGAGCAGGTCAGTGGTTGGGATGCCGGGGGCGGGGGGTGGTTCTGGTGCAGTGTCCTTGCCCTGCTCGCTCCAGACCTCTCCACAGAGCCTGCTGCTCTTCCCCAAGGTGGCCCAGGGCCTGGACAGGGAGCGTGACTCCTGGATCCTGATCTCACTTAGCCTGGAAGGGCCACCACCCTGCCTAGACAGAACCGCCCCCTGCCCCCGGAAGGGGCAGCTGCAAGGCCAGGGGAGAGATTGGAGTGGGAGGGCTGTCCAGGTCCCTGGCAGCCTGCATCTGCCTTCAGGGTTTAGAGGGGCTCACCTTGACTTTCGATGCTAAGGGGTTCCAGCGCTTCCATAGCAGCCACCATCCTGACAGAGAGTCGCCATAGTTAGTGAGATCCGTCTTGTCCTGGCTGCCCACGTCGATGGCGAGGACCACCTTTGCCCCCAAGGACCTGGCCACGTCCGCTGGAGTGGTAAGGAGAAGGGGCTGTGGTGGCGTGGCACCCCTGCCCAAAGTAGTGCTGCTTCTAGCTGAGACCTTGCAAGCGACAGGTAGGGACCCTGGAGTCCAGACACCTGAAGGCCTTTCATCCCTGCTAGTGGCACAGAGGCAGCTAAATGCACCCCACATTGCACGACAGCTGAACAGCTTTCTCTTGGCCTCCAGCCCAAATCAGTCACACTGCACGTGCATGTACCCTGTGCTCACCGCCAGCAGGGACTCTCTCTGTGGGGAACAGCCATGGGGGTGGGAATGACAGTCCAGCTGGTACCTGGAAGGTTGTTGATATAGCCCCCGTCCATCAGCAGGTGTCCGTCTTTGGGGTCACAGAGCGGGGGCATGTAGCCAGACAAGGACATGCTGGCACGCACGTACCTCCACAGGGAACCTGGGGGTGGCAGGGGCGAGTGGGCGACGTGGTAGTTTCTCCAGACAGCTCCTCTGAGATCCTGACTTCAAGGGCTTGCCTGGGAGTCGCCCGCCCCTGCCTCTGACCACCACCCTGCTCCCCGCTTCCTCGGGAACCGAGTCCCCAGCGCCATGGGCTCTGACCCCGCCCTCACCATCCATGTGGACCCGCATGGCTGAGGCTGTGATGTCCGTGGTGACAGTGAAATAGGGCAGCCACAGGTCCTGCAGGGGCAGAGAGTTCAGAGTACGAGCAAGGGCTGCCTGGGCTTGCAGACCACCGGCCCTACCCCAGGGGCACCTCTATCTGCCGGTCCTTGAAGACATTGTAGACGCTGCTGTTGAAGCCAGCACCCGAAAACATGGAGGTGATGGGGTAGGTCAGGTCCAGCACTGTGTTCACCATAGATGTCATGTTCTGGGGGGAGGGGGTCATGCTCAGGCCAGTCTGGCTCAGCTCCATGCCAGGGGGCCAAGTTTGGGCTTGTGAGGTGACCTAGGAGTGTGGGCCCCATACTGGGCCGTCCACCCCGCACCTTCTCAGGCAGAGGGCACAGTGGGGCAGGGGAGGCCTGCTGGAGGCTCAACAGGCCAGCTCTGCCGCCCTCACTCTCTCTTTTGAGCAGCAACACTGCAGTGACCAGAAGGGCACAGCTCCACCACCGCGTCTCTGCTATTTCTGGCACAGAGCAGCGTGCGTGGTGGTGGCCCCAGCCTGATCCACTGCAGGGGCTGCGGCCTGAACGCCATAGAGCCATTCTGTTCTTCAGAGAACGAGGACACCTTTCAGCCCACGCATGGCTCCAAGCCCAGCTGTTCTGCTGCTCCAGACCTCACATTCCCACTGCCTGCCACCACCCTGGCCCGCCCAGCTCCATCCTCCAGTGGCCATCTATTCTACTCTCCATCCCTCCTTCCTGCAGTCCTCCAGCCCATTCCCCCCTCTCCGTGCTCCACTCTCACCCTGCAGTCCTCCACTCATCCTCTGTCCTTGGTCCACAGCCCGTCCCCTCCCCTGGACTGTCTGTTCTCCATGCCCTGCTTTTGCTAGTGGCAGGCAGCCCTGTTCCCATCACTGGCCGGTTTTCACTTCCTTTTTACCTACCACCAGTCTTCTCTAGGGACTTCCTTCAACCTACAATGCATACACTGAAGGCTGAGAGGTGCATGGCCCTGGTGTTCACCTTCGAGGGAAGTGGAGGCCATGCACCTGAAGACCAGAGCCCTGTGGGTGCTGTGGCTACCCCTGGGGGTCCCACTGCTTCTTTCTCACCTCAGCCCACTGCTTGGCCCGGATGCGCATCCGGCTGTAGTTCCGCTCCTCTGCGTATAGGGCCCCCATGAAAGCCCCAATGGACGTCCCTCCAACCATGTCCACAGGGACACCACATTCAGACAGGGCCCGGATGATGCCGACCTGAGAGCAGCCCCTGCACAGCCAGAAAAGCAAGTGAGGCCTCAGGCCAGCATCCAGCAGGACCAGCACTCTCACCACCCTGGCAGAGGGCTCCCTGAGAGGACATCTGTCCATAGGAGCAGCCCACCTGCCCCTTGCCACTTCAAGCAAGCACAGGTTTGGAGAAGAGATTGGACCAACCCTCTTGGAGACAGAGACTCATTCTCTGCAGCACTGTAGGGCCAAGAGTACAGCCCAGCACTCAGCTCCCAGTACTCAGCCCCCAGCACTCATCCACACCCCCCCCCCCGCCGCGCCCTGCCCCTCGGCCCCTGGCACTCCACCTGCTGACTCCAAAGAGCGAGCACTCAACAGGCAGGGGCAGGGTGCTGGTGTTCAGGGCTGGGAATGAATGATCCTGGCTAGTGCTCCACAGGGCAATCAGGATGAAGTATAAAAGGCTGAAATCCTGTCAGGCCATGTGCACTCCTCCCGGCTAAGCCACCTGCCAGGGCTGGAGTAAAGCCTTTCTGGACAAAGTCAGTGGCTAGCCTCACACTCAGCCAAGAATCAACACTCTAGGAGTAAAGACTGTGACCATAAAGGAAGAGGAAGAACAGAGAACAGACACACCCAGAGAGGAGGTGATGATGGAAATATCAGTCAGACTCTACAAGGCCTAGAGGCAAAACTGAGACATTACAAAATAGAACCACAGAGAAATTCCATACTTGGGAAAAACAATAAAACAATGAATTTACAATGATTTACCAGTGAATTAAACCAGCAGAAGAGGAAAAGAGTGAACTGTCCGAATAGGCCAGAAAAAGGTATTCAAATGAACTTTTAAAGTGACAAAATGATGGAAAACATGGAAAGAGCTTAAGAGATACGGTATAAAGATCTAACTTACATATAATTAGAGCCCCAGGAAAGTAGAAAAAACAGAGCAGAATCTGAAAAAATAACAGTTGTAACTATTACAACCTTTCAGTAAAAATAAAAACATTCTTGCACTAACAATGCAGACCAAGGCGAAAGCTCATTTAACCAGTCCGACACACCTTCAGAGATGCAACCAGAATCCTGAGCTGTGGTTGTATTCTGTACTCAGAAGTATCTTTCAAAATCAAAACCGTAACAAAAACATTCAGGACCATTTTAAACAAATAAAAACTAGTAAAACTCACCATTACCAGAGCTGCCCTAAAAGCATTAAAACACATTCTTTAGGTGAAAAACATACAACAAGGAGTCTGAAGATAGAGAAAACCAAGAATAATGGAAGGCAAATACATAGGTCAAGAAATGATCACTGATGACATAAAAGAACATTTTGTAAAGGGGGGAGTGATGACAAATAGATCCCTGCAACAGCTTTGCATTATCATGCCAATTACTAATTTATATTAGTTCTCAGTTAGCTAAGAAGGAATGCTGAAATCCCTCAGTCACTAAGAAACAGCAAAGCACAGTAACAACATAGTCCACAGGCCGATGTAGGGAACAAAAAAGGAGGAGTTTGGAAAGAATTCATGCAAAACAAAATGACTGAAAGAAATATAACAAATTTGACTAACAGAAAGATGGCGCTTGAAATGTTCTGACTGCTGGTGTGAGTTTCTCCACCATCTCATTCCACAGTTGGAGTCAATTTGATTCTTGTGCAGTTCATCAAGTGAGATACATGTATATTTGCATTTTTCAAGTGTCTTCCTCCTCTGTTTACAACTTCTGCATTCCAGTCATTTATTAATGCAACTTGATTGCATGTTCAGTCAATTTCAGGTTGCAGAAGTTGGTAAAATCCTCAGTACTTTAGTGGTTCGTGTGTGTATTTTAAGAATAGTTATATTAACAACTATTAACAATAGATGATTTCCTGATATGTGTGTGGGCATTATCATACCACTCACAACATTGTACTTCAGAGTAGATCTTAAAAAGTTCTTTTTTAAGGGTGCAGTATTTCCCTGGTCTGTCCCTCTGCCTGTTTTTCTCTCTGCAAAGCAAGGAATCTCACCGAAAGACCCCTTAATAAAGCTTCTTTAGCTTCCTTTAAAAAAAAAGTTCTTTTTTTCTGATGCTGAATGTGACACCATTTCTCTTCAATTTGTCATTTCCAACCTAGAAGATCATACAATTGTCTGGTTAAAAATGGCCAACAGCGGGGGAGCTCTGGTGGCCTAGTGGCAAGGAACTGCAACTACAATCCCAGAGGCACACAGTTCGAATCCACCAGATGCTCTGCCAGGGAAGGAGGGACAATCTCCTCCTGTACCAGTCAGATCTGATTTGATGGTACATGCACACAAAATAAATAAAAAAAAAAGAATTAAAAAAAAATGGCCAACAGGAACCCAGCTCAGTTGAGTAATACCAAAGATGTTGATCTTTACATATTTCATTTCATCTGTGGCAACTTCCAATTTTCCCAGATTTTGTTGTTCTTCTATTTTACAATATAGTTACTAAAGGATATTTGCACTTGTTCCTCTCTCTTTGGAACAAGCACACCAGCAAACGTAGGTTCTTCAGTGAGTGAAGCTCTGCTCCACGTGTGTCAGGAAGGTGGATGCTCTGAAGAGGGAGCCCCTCCCTGGTCATACTCTGAGCGACTGCCAAGCTGTGGGGCTGCTTTGCTGGCATCACGCCAGGCAGCAGGTGAGGGCCTCTTATTTCAGAAGTGGATGGCTAGTCCTGCTTCCTAGTCTGCTTGACCAGAAGCACTGATGAAGCCTGTCCACCAGGGGTGACCCTCCTGGTATTTGAAATACCAGTGGCATAGCTTCCAGCATCATGACAACATGCAAGCTGTCACAGTACGGCAAACTGACACACAACTGGAGGCACTGGACGCTAGTGACCAAAAACTAGCTGAGTTGTGAGAAGACATAAAGAACATACATGAAGAAAGCAAAAAGGGGGGAGCTTTGGTGGCCTCGTGGCAAGCACTGCAATCCCAAAGGTGTGCAGTTCAAACCCACCAGATGCTCCGCTGGTTCAGAAGGAGGGGCAATCTCCTCCTGTACCAGTCGGATCTGATTTGACGGTACACAACAAGGACAGAAAAGAGAAAAAAAAAAAGAAAGCAAAAAGTCACTATAAAGACAATAAAGGAAAAAAACCCCAAAGAGATGTTAGGAGGGACTCTGAAAAGGGATCATGAATGTAAGAGCAGCTGTAGTAAATGGAACAAATGAAGTAAAAGAGCTGAACAGATTTCAAAGGGCAGATCCACAAAGGACCTGTGTAAAGTGCTAAGGAATGAGGAGATCACTTTAAAGATTAAGGTACCCAATTCAAGCATCAGAGAGCTGGACAATGACTAAGGATAACAGAAGAATCATCGCCTTTGAGCTGTAGTGCTGGAGTAGAGTCTTGAACATATCATGGACTGCCAAGAAAACAAATATGTCTATCTTGGAGAGGGTAAAACCAGGTTTCCACTTGAAAGCTAGGATTTTGAAGCTCCATCTCACTCACTTTAGAAATGCTACCAGGAGAGACAGGTCCTTAGAGAAGGACCTCATGCTTAGAAGGGTAGAGGGACAGCACAGGAGAGGAAGACTCCGGAAGAGATGGACTCATACAGTAACTGGGGCAATGGGAGTTGGTATGTCAGAATTAGTGAGACTGGCTCAGGATAGGGCAGGGTTCAGAGCTGCTGTGCATAGGGTTGCTATGGGTCTCAGGTGACTCACCAGCACATAACAAAAATTCAAGCCATAGTATTTTCAATTGTTTCACAAACATGTGTAAGCTAGACAAATGAATAAAGAAGACAAAATGACTGATGCCTCTGAATTGTGGTGTTGTTGAAATGGGTTGACTACTCGACGATCTGTTCAAAAACTAACAAATTTGACTGGGAGGAGGCTCAGCCAGGGCGGACACAGACCTGAAGAACAAGCTGTGAAGCTTCGAAAGAAAGAGAACATTTCTGTGACGTTGGGATAGACACCAAGTTTTTAGAATAAAAAAAAATTGAAATGGTTCTTCCAACGACAACATTAGGAAAATGAAAAGAAAAGATGGCTTAAAAATATCAATGCAGATATTTGGGAAAAAACCTCCTAAAGCTCAATTATAAAAAGTAACCTAATAAAAAGAAATTAAGAGCATGCATATGGATACGTCACAAAAGATGACACAGAAAGGGCCACTGAGCACACATAAGGGTCTGCAACACCACCGGTCATTGTTAGTCCCTTTACGTCCACCCTGACTCGGCATGACTCAAGGACAACAGGTCAGAGCACAGCCCCATCCTACACCATCCTCACTTCACTGCCTTCAAGTCCACGGCCGCCGCCACTGTGAACCTCATCTCACCGAGGCCTTCCTCACACAAGGAGACGGACTCAAACACAGCAGTGACTGAGGATGGGAAAGGAGAAGGCAGTGTTGTGTTGTCCACCACTACAGGGCTGGGATCAGCGTGACAGTACCTAATAGCAATGTTACTGTGCTGTTATACGCCATCAAGTCAACTATGACTCCCAACGAGCCTACAAGTAACAGCTCTACACCTTTCCCTGTCCTGAGCCAACCTCACCGTCTCTGAAACACCTCGCCCCAGTGCCACAGTCACTGAGTCAATCCATCTCAACTAGGGTCTCCCTCTCCTGCGCTGACCTCCACCTTTCCAAGCATGACGTTCTTCTCCAAAAGACAGCCCCAGGATGTCTGACACCATGCAGGGTCAATACCCCAGCAGAGTATCTGGAGACAAAGTACGACACCAAGAAAACAGCAAACAGCAGCTTCAGGGAATGAGGACAGCGCAGGATCAGGCAGCATCTTGTTCTGTCGCACTCGGGAGACCTGGGTTAGGACCCAGGGCAACGGCTCCTAACAATGACAAACACAACAGTGTGTGACTGAATGGTGAGGTGAGCTGTGGCATCCAGAACCTAAGTAATGGCTGCACATTTAACTGGACACAGTGACAAACACACTGACATCCTGGGTGGGAGGGAAGGAGAGTTTGACAGTCAGACACCCACCCTGCCTGCGCGCAGGGGCATTTGAGGATGGGTCAAGGGCACCCTATGGTATGTCACACGTTACAGAGCCATATGCCGTTGAACTAAGCATCTGGTATAAGACGTAATCAAATGCCATCGAAGAGACCAGTGAGCTGTGCTCCTGTCACCCTGACAGCCCTTGCGCCCTCGCCTTGCCCTCGCCTCGCCCCATCACTGCGGCCCTCTCTCCATCTCCATCTCACTGAGAGTCTCCGATTCGCAAACTAAATGTACCATCCAGCAGTTCTCAGGAGGCTGCTTCAGGGGCAGGTGGTGTCGGGGAGAGGGGACTCCTATCGCTGCTGCCCTCACGGTCCTGGGCACAGATGTTGGCACAAACAGGTCACATAGTGGTTGGTGCTGCTTCTGTCTGCCACACATTCTTGTGACCCTTCCCACTGTGCATTTGGCTTGAACCACCTCCCCGATGAGAACAGGCCAAGGAAAAAAAGATCAACAGAAGTCCAGACAACTTTCCAGAGGTCTTCTGCCGGCATGTCTAAGGGGCTCTGTCCCTGCAGGTCCCTGGGGACACTGAAGCAAGGGTATGGCTATGCTATTAGCCATGGGTATTGCTGGCCAGGCCAGGGCTCAGACAGTGGTATCTGGGGTCCTGGCCAGAAGAGGGCAGCAGCAGAGCCTGGGTGGGGATGCTGAGCCAGCTCCCTATGGACACACCTGAACCCAGCCCTTCTCTCTGGGGGCACAGAGGGCTGGCCCAGCCTGTTCCTCCTCATGCCCAGTCCATTTCTTCCGCACTCTCCAGAGAAGAGTGGCAAGGGTCAGCATGACATCAGGACAGGCGTTAGCGGGGTAAAAGGCAGCCACATGGGGGGAGCAGAGTGCTGGAACACAGTACGTGGTTAGCAGCATTCATCCACAGAATGTGTATTAAAACAACTCACCAGAAGCCCAGCGGAAAGACTGGCAAGGGACAAGAACAGAACATTTTCAGAAGAGACCCACTATCCATGAGCAAAAAGAAGTTACCCACCACCTCAGGCCAAGACCACCAGAGGGGAAAATTTTCCTGGACCTGTAGCTACAGAGCCCCCTGGAGCGCAGCTCCTTGATGGTGTGAACAGGACACCTCCCCTGACACGAGCCAGCAGTCTCCTGCTGGGCCTGCAGGCTGGCCAGGCCCATGCAATGGCCAAGGACCGAGTGCTGCCCCAGACCGGCCTGACCCAGGCACACCCCACACACAGTGCAAAGGACAGGTTCTGCGGAGCTCCAGAGGTTGGTCAAGGGCCTCCCTGGGTACAGCCCTGGAGAGTGGGCCTCACCTTGCTCCCCCTCCACCAAGCACCAGGGCGATGGCATTACCGGTCAGCACCCGCGCCAGACGGGAGAAATCCGAGTGCCGGTCGGGCAGCCTCTGGTAGACACGCTGGTACATCTCTACCTGCAGAAGATGCATGACTGGAGAGCTCGGGGCAGGTGCTCACCACAAAGGATGGAGGGGGCCAGCGGACTGAGGCTGGGGCCCGGACCCAGGAGGAGGACTTGGGGAATGTTTAAATGTCAGGAACCTTGGTGCAGCATCTGGGAAGGCTGTGCCCTAGCCCCCAGGACTCACCAGCTTGGGCAGGCTCCTACGGGAGAAGACCCTCCGTGGACAGCAAAGGTGCATGTGGCCGGAGCACCAGCTCCTCATGTTGAGCCACTCCACTGTCCGGGCCGGCTCCGGGCCCTCCTCCCGATGCAGCAGGATCAGCTGCTTCTGGGCGCGCACAGCTGTGTTCTCCAACATCTGCTCCAGCTGAGTGAGGGCAGCAGGGAGGTGTGCACCCCGGCCGGGCCAGCAGAGCCAGCAGTGCCAACCCCAGGCCCAAGCTCCCTCCCTTGGCAAGAAATCCCGCCCCAGGCCTAAGCCCACACCTCAGCATCAAGCCCCACCCACCACCTGAGTCCTGCCTAGGTAACAGGCACTGCCCACGAGGGGAGCTTGTCCCTCAGGGCTAAGCCCCGCCCCCACCTGAGTCCTGCCCCCAGCAACAAGCTCCACCACCCGTAAAAAGCTCCACCTACAACCCTAATGTCTCCTAATGCCTTGGCACCAAGTGCTGTCTCAGATTCTGCTCTCTCACCTGGCCCACGGTAGGTTCCTGCTCGCCCAGGCCCACGATTAGGATGCAATCAGCCTGGCGGATGCAGCGCTGAGTCCAGGGTGTCAGCGTGCTGTCAGCCTGGTAGAGGACAATCCGGTGGATATCCTCCTGCTGCCCCAGCCAACTGGACAGCCGGTATTCATGGACACTGAGGGTCATAGAGGGGTCCTTTCAGCAACTGCCTGGGTAAGCAGAGGGAGCCCCCGTGTAGCAGAGGGTTTGGAGGCTAGGCCAGGTGGGAACTGCTCAGATGCAGATGGGAGAGGCTGAAGGCTGGGGCAGGTAGGAAGCAAGCTGGATTATTATGGCCTTTATGTGCTGGGGTGGACCTGTACCTCTTTGAGAGGCTGTGGGGTTGGGGGTCAGGGCTTTCGTCCACGGCTTCCTAGACCCAGGCTTCGCCATTATCATTGCCCTTGCTCACGCCTCACCTTTTCACCACCTGGCCCCATTCCTCTGTCGTTTGTGTCTCCTCACCATCTCCTCTCCCCATGTGGCCATCAGTCAGGCCCTCAGACTAGGCTACCCTAGATGTCCTGGTGACAGGCCCTGAGCTCCCTCCACTGGGCCCTGTGGACGCTGCATACCTGTCCAGGGCTGCAGAGCCCAGGCGCTGCTTTATGTTGTCGCTGGTCAGCAGCAGGACAGGGCCTGAAAGCAAAGCCAGCAGTTAGTGGAGTTCTATGCACATAGTCCAAGGCCACGAGTGGACACTGCTGTTCTCCTCGAGAGGCCTGCCCTGCACTTCCCTGTCCATTTAGAGAGTCACCTGGGCCCTCCTCGTGGTAGATACCCACAGGCACTGCAGAAGGTAGTGCACAGTCCCTGACAGCAAATGGGAGCCCCAGCCAGGCTCTGCCTTGGGGTTCAACAGTCAAAGCCCCTCAGGAGGCCTCCCATTGGCGGCTGTGGGGTACAAGAATGGGGGTGGCAAAGAGGAGCAGGAGCAGGTGACAAGGAGGAAGCATGGAGGTGAGGAGCTGGCAGAAAGGGGAGGAGGAGTGGGGTGGGAGGAGTCAGAGTGAGGAAAACTGAGGGGAGGGAGCAATAGGTGAGGAGGCTGCTGAGAGGGAGGAGTCAAGAGTCGGTGGGAAGCAGGTGGGAGGAGGGAGTAAGGGAGCCTGGCCAGAGGAAGGGGAGGGGGAAGAACTTTGCCCAGAGCCAGGCCACTGAAGGGCCTGGTGCCTTAACTGGTGACATTCTTTTCCCTAAGGGCACATGAAACAAAGGAGCCCTACATCCAAAGGTCTCTCAGGATCATGCTGCACTAATGTCTTGCAGAAGCTGTGGATGTGTAGCTGGGGAATACCGGCTGGCTCCTGGCCCTTCCAGAGATGGCTGTGCCCTCCCCGTGCTGGGGATGGCATGAGGCTGGCAGCGTGGCACAGGCTCAGCCTCAGTCCTCACATGGGACTGGAGCCTTTTTATCACAAGCCGTGTAAGCTGGAGGTGCTGATGGCTGTCCACCACAGCTTCTGTGATGTGGGGCCAGAGGCCAGGCAAAGAGGCAAGGCAGCCACCAAGGAGTTCACTGGACACCCGGCCCTGCGCACCACTTTGGCCCTGCCTCTGTGACACTGAGGCGCCCTGGGAGGGGGCACGTAGGTGCTGCTGGCTTGGTCTCCTGCTCCTGCCGATCAAGGTCATGGCTGTCCACACCCAGGACTTTGTTGTCCACCTTCTCAGTTACAAGTGGCTTTGCAGGAGGCACTTGTCTTCCTGCCACAAGAGGAGGGCTCTGGACCGTGGTGTCCAGATTGAGTACAGAGCACTGTCACCAGCTCCCAGCTTCAATCATGATGGCAGGAAGGCCAGAATCCTTTCCAATGCTGAAGACCAAGGAGAAACCAGATGCCTTCTAAACTCAATCCTAGTACAAATTCTTTCCTTCAAGAGCTGCTTAGCCTGTGGGCAAGGTGACCTAGACATGCAGGTCACAGTGGGTCTCCTTATGGAGTCAAGAGGAGATAGTGCCAATTGCTGCCTTCATGGCCTGTGGTGGGCCTGGACCACTAGTGTTACCCTATAGGATTTCTCATTTTCATAGATCTACACTTTCTGGAAGTCATCTTCAGGAGCTGGATTCTACAGAGGCTTGTTTGCTGGTACTGGTGAGGATTAGGATTAGGATGGAACGCTGATTCGCTAATGTGTGAGATGATGTGATTCGGCCTCCTATTTAAAAATCCATTTGGTCAGAAGTATGGGGCTAGAATCCAAATGCGATAATGGTCACCCATGGTGGACAGTATATGGTGGAGCATCCCGATTAAAACAAGCTTGGAAGCAGGAGTGGCATCCACTTCTGAAATGGCTTGCCTCCAGATACTCTATGAACATGGAGAAATGGTGAAAGTTACACAAGTGTTCAGGTCTTTCGGTCGTAGGGTCACTATGAGTTGTCTATGACTCAACAGCACTTAAACAACAACAAAAACCCTTTTAGAAATGTGAGATATATATATATATATATATAGTTGTTACTGTGTGCTGTCAAGTTGGAACTGACCCACTGCTGACCCGCCCAAGCAGGTTTTCAGAGGCAGTAAATCGCATGCGAGGACACCACCCATTCTTCTTCCATGGAGCAGCTGGTGGACTCAAACTGTGTGCCTTTGGGATTGCAGCTCAGCTTCTTACCACTACAAACACATACACACACACACACACTCAGGAAAGAAACTAGGGGAACACAATAAAAAGTTAATAAAGAAAAAGAAGAACAAGAATAAGATAAGTTATTTAAAACTGTGGGAAAGACTAAAGGGTTTATTTTTACTTTAATTTAATTTTGCAAAAATGTCTCTCTCAGGCTGCTCATTTCTAAGAAGAAATTTCTAAGAATTTTTTAAGATTTAGGTTTTTATATTGTTGTTGTTTTTGTTGTTATACGCCGTCAAGTCACCTGTGACCTTATGTGCAGCAACTCTGAACCCTGCCCTGTCTTGAGCCAGTCTCACTAATTCCGACACACCAACCCCCATTGCGCCAGTTACTGTATCAATCCATCTCATCTGGGGTCTTCCTCTCCTGTGCTGTCTCTCCATCCTTCTGAGCATAATGTCCTTATCCAAAGACCTGTCTCTCCTGGCCACGTGTCCAAAGTTTGTGAGATGGAACTTCAATATCCCAGCCTCCAAGGAGAAACTCGGTTTCACTCTCTCCAAGACAGACCTATTTGTTTTCTTGGTGGTCCATGGTATGTTCAAGACTCTTCTCCAGCATCACAATTTGAAGGCATCAATTCTTCTCTGTCATCCTTAGTCACTGTCTAGCTCTCTGGTGCACAGCAAGTAACCACGAAGACCATGGCCTGGATTAGGCACAGTCTTAGTATCTAGACTGACATCTTAGTGGTCTTTTACCATAATTATTCTTTTGTGACTGGCTTATGTCAGTCAGCTACGTATTTCATAAATTCTCAGTCATTTTTTTTAGCGATACAGAATACTCCACCGTGTTAATGTACTGTAGTTTCTTTAGCCATTCATCTACTGATGGACATCTGGGATGTTTCCAACTCTCTGCAGTTAGAAACACAAGAGTATGTTAGTATGCAGATCATATTTCTTGGTGATATATACTTAGTAGTGGGATTGCTGGATTGAATAGTATTTCTATTCCCAACTTTCTAGGGAAGAGCCAAAAGGCATTCCATACTGTCAGCATCACTTTACACTTCACTAGCAGTATATGAGCCTTCCAATCTCCCCACACCCCTGTTGGCACACGTGTGATACCTTATTGAACATAGCCCTTTTTGCTGGGGTGAGAAGTAATCTCATTTCAATTTAATTTACATCTCTCTATTAACTTATGATCGATAGCTAGATCAAGAAACTGTTGTCTAAGCAGAGCAAGAGAACACTGCGTGGTTTAAAATCAGAAAAGGTGTTAAGTCAGGGCTGTATCCTTTCTCCATAATTATTCAACCTCATCCAAAAAAGCTGGACTTTGTGAGTAAGAATGTGGCATCAGGATCGGAGGAAGACTCATCAACAACCTGCGTTATGCAGATGACCCGACCTTGCCTGATGAAAGTAAGGAGGATCTGAGACACCTAATGTAGAGGACCAAAGACTTCATTACGGATTACATTTCAGCATCAAAAGGACAAAAATGCTTACCACCAGACTGAAAGGCAACATCATGAGAGATGGAGAGAAGACGGGATTTGTCAACTATTTCATCTTACTTGTATCCACAACCAATAGCCTTGGTATCAGCAGTCAAGAAATCAAAAGGTCAATAAAAATGACAAAGCATTGTTGTTGTTGTTGTTGTTATGTGCTGCTATGAGTCGCTTGCGACTCATAGCGACCCTATGTACAACAGCCCTAAACTCTACTCTGTCCTGTGCCAATTGCACTGCCTCCGACACACCCACCCCAATTACCCCAGTACTAATCAATCCACTTCATAGAGGGTCTTCCCCTCCTGCATTGTCCCTCCACCCTCCCAAGCATGATTTCCCTCTCCAAGGACCAGTCCCTCCTTACAACTTGTCCAAAGTATGTCAGACAAAGCCTCAGAATCCTTGCCTCCAAGGAGTAGCCCTGTTTAACCCTCTCCAGGATGAATCTGTTTATTTTCTTAGCAGTCCATGGTACACTCAATTCTCTTCTCCAGAACCACAGCTCAAATGCATCAATTCTCCTCCTACCCTCCCTAATCATTGTCCAACTCTCTGGCGCATAGCAAGTAATTGCAAAGACCATGGCCTGTATCAGACACACCTTAGTCTCCACAGTGACACCATTGTCTTCTCTCTTTTTTTGTCTCTTTTATTAAGTTTGCTAATGTTTTGGGGACAAAACATTAGCAAACTTAATAAAAGGAAAAAAGAGAAAACAGATAATTTTATTAAGAAATTATAAAGGTGACATCACAAATGAACCAGATGAAATTAAATTTATAATATTGGAATATGAAAAGCCATATTCAGATAAATTAGAAAACCTAGAAGAAATGGAAAAATTCCTTGATATGCATTCCCTATCCAGACCGACCTGGACAGGTGTAGAACACTTGAACAGACCCATCACAAAAGAAGAAATGGAACAGGTCATAAAAAGACCTCCCCATAAGAAAAGTCCTGGACTAGAAGGCTTCATAGCTGAATTATACCAAGCATTCTGAGAGGATCCATCACCAATTCTACTCAAAGTATTTTAAAAAATAGATAAAAAAAAATAGATAAAGAAGGAATGAACACTCCCAGAATCATTCTATGAAGCAAGCATAATCCTAATAACAAAACCAGGTAAAGATATTAACAATAAAGAAAACTACAGACCAGTACCTCTCTCATAGAGATGCAAAAATCCTTAACAAAATCCTAGCCAATAGAATCCAAAAACACATAAAAAAAATAAAAATAATTCATCATGACCAAGTGGGATTCAACAAGTATGCAAGGATGGTTCAACATAAAGAAAACAAACAATGTAATTCACCATATTAACAAAGCAAATAACCATAACCATAAGATCTTAACCATTGATGCAGAAAAGGCATTTGACAAAATCCAACACGACTTCCTGATTTAAAAAAAAAACACCTCAGCAAAATTTGAATAGAAGGGAATTTCCTCAAAATAGTGATAAGTATACATGCAAAACTAAGAGCTAATATCATTCTCAATGGAGAAA